TGAGAGGGATTTGAAAAGTTGAAGCCCATGGATCGTTGGATCATATTGATCTAACGGTCCCTAGGGGAGTAGCGGTTACCATTTGTATTTTGGAAACACTATAAATAGGGGTGGTGGGGACCAAACCCTAATGTGTTTACTTGGTGATAGCGTGCAATTGCTTCGAGCTGACGTAAAGATCAACCTTGGTTGCGAGTTCTTGACCGAAGTCGACATCCGATTTAAGGTACGTTTTGATGGTTGATTTGAATATAGATGTAGAGGATAGGGTTTCTGAGGCGGGTTCTACTGGAAGTAGTAGAGCTATTTCTGTCGAGGTGGGTTCACGTGAGCCTTCTCACCCAAGGGTCTCAGACTCGGCAACGCAGAGGTCGGTTAGCGTAGAAATTGTTGAGGGGTTCGAGCAGTCACGAAGTATGGAGGAGGCTTCTTCTCTCGAGGTGACCGAGGACCGACCGAGTACTCGCCGAGTCGGTTCGACTTCGCGTCGGTTCGGCCCTATAGAAGTTCCTGGCTATAGGTGGGTTCATGGGGAGGTGGGGAGTGTATTTTCTCGGTATACTGACAAGAGCTCAATCGCTGTGCTGTTCGACACGGAAAATTTTGTTACGCTTCCAGAGCGTGAGGTACCATCTGGTTTCTTTTTTGACTCGTGCCGGAACGATGGGTCATGGGAATCGGATTTTGTTTTTCTTGGCCGAGGGAAGTGTAAATACCACTTCTTTTTTGTGTACGACTACTTGTTTCGTGATTTGGGGGTGACTCTTCCTTTTGACAAGTTTTTTATGGGTGTGCTCCGTTTGCTCAACGTTGCACCGACCCAGTTACATCCAAACAGCTGGGCCGCGATGCAAGGATTTCGGTAGTTGTGTCTGACACTTGGTATCGAGCCGACTCCCCATTTGTTCTTGTATTTTTACTCGTGTCGGCCTACGAAGAAAGCGAAATGGCTGTCACTGGTTCGGGCGGAGCATTGTTTAATTCAGCCGTTTACTACCTCCTATAAAGGATTCAAAGTGGGATTCTTTAAGGTGATGATTCGGCCAGAAAACGGCAACAAGTATTTTTTTGACGGTGCAGGGAATGCCTTGTTTCCTTTATATTGGACTCGGTTGCCGAGAAAATATGACGTGGTGTCGAAGTCCAAGATGTCTGCTGAGGAGAAGGCTGACTTGGAAGTGTTGGAGAAGTTGCCACGGCCGTTGGCGTGCCGAGATCTTGTTCGTCTCGTGAAATCAGCCCAGTCTGTTGATGATTTAATTGGTATAGTGTTTCTCCTTTATTTAAATTCTTGCGTTGCCATTGATTTTGACTAGTGTTTGTGCAGGTATCATGGCGAACTACGACGACGAGTTGGATATTCGTGCCCTGATCCAGAGCCGAGTTGTAAAGCAATCGGCTCCACATGGGGAGGACCGGGCTCTAGCACGTGAGACGGCTCGGCCTCAACCGCAGCCAAGGGAGAAGAGCAACCAGGATGCCCAAAGGGCGAAGAGCAAAAGGAGGGCTGAGGCCGAGTCCGAGGCGCGCCGGCAAAAACAACAAAGGCTGCTCGCTCTTGTGGCTCCTCAGGGGCTTGTGAGTCCCAGCTTCTTGGCCTCGAATGTCAGTGCCCAAGATTACTTGAGTCAAGACCTGACTTCAGAGATGGGGTAGTCCATACTGGGACAGATGACCGCGTCCCATAAGTGGACTTTTTTCTGCGAGTTGCAGGCTCGGGCCCTGGCTTTGGCTCAAAGCATTATGATGCAACCAAGCGCCGAGGCCGACGGACTGCGCCGACAGCTGGCCGAGTCAGAGAAGTCCGTGCAGGAGACCTTGGTGGCTCTATCCGAGGCACAAGGGCATGGCAAGAAATGCGAGGCGGAGCTGGATCGTCGGAGTCGTCAGAATGATGACCTGACCTTGAAGGTTCAAAGGTTGGAGCATCTGCTGAAGACCGAGGCTGAGAAGTCGGCTTTGCTGCTGAAGGAGCTAGAAGCCGAGAAGAAGGAGTTCGGCTCATACCGGGAGAGGGCCAGGAGCAAGGTTCTTTCTCAGCATGAAGCCGGCTTCGCCCAAGCGGCTCGGCAAGCTCGGCATTTTGGGAGTTTGCCTCAGGACTTTCAATTTGATATGACCATGGACTTCTATCGGGGGAAATATGTCAATTTGACCCAAATCCCACCGAATGAGCAGCCAAACACTGAAGTCCCTGTTCGTCCTGAGGCCGCATCGAGTGGAGGCGGTCATGTGCAGGAGGAGGTGGCCGAGCAGGAGCCTTCAGTACAAGGGGAGCCCGAGGCACAGGCTTAGGGTGATTTTCTTTTGATTTTGTATGTTGGGGCCGATAGTGCCCCGTTTAATCTCTTGTAGTTCCGGGCCGTTAGAGCCCTTTTGATTTGTTAATGCAATTTCCTGCTTTTATCAGTGTTTCCGAGCGAACAGCAATATAATAAATTTGCCGAACGTAGTATAGTTTATATTTAACGCGTCTCGGGAGGGAAGACTTGTAAATTGTAACGAAAGCCACATCCTTGGCCGAGAGACATCTCGGGAGGGAAGACTTGTAAATTGAAACGAAAGCCACATCCTTGGCCGAGAGACATCTCGGGAGGGAAGACTTGTAAATTGAAATGAAAGCCACATCCTTGGCCGAGAGACATCTCGGGAGGGAAGACTTGTAAATTGAAACGAAAGCCACATCCTTGGCCGAGAGACATCTCGGGAGGGAAGACTTGTAAATTTTAACGAAAGTCACATCCTTGGCCGAGAGACATCTCGGGAGGGAAGACTTGTAAATTTTGCATGAATATAAAGCAAGACATAAATAGCTGAATTGTATTGTTATTGATTATTGGATGCCTTGTTAAAAACCTTGCCGGCCAAAAATCTCTTTTCACATTTTTCTAAGAGGAAAAAAGACCGGTTCAAGGAAAAGAGTGCACCGGAAGACATTTACACATATACATGAAGTGGAATCCTAACTGTAATAGGTCTTCAAATGGGTAGAATTCCATGTTCGGGGGATGATCTTGCCGGACAATTCTTCTAACTTGTAAGAACCATTATTAAGGGTGTGTTTGACTCTGAATGGGCCGTCCCAATTTGCCGCTAGTTTCCCCTCGGTCGAGCTTCGTCGCGCCGAGCCAGTTGATCGCCAAACCAGATCACCTTCTTGGAAACTCCTTGGTTTTATCTTGGAGTTAAATCGCCGGGTCATTCGTTGTTTACACACTTCAGCAATGTCTTGGGATTTCTCTCGGACCTCATCCATGATGTCTAGTTCAACTCGGATTGCGCCATCGTTAGAATCCTCATGAAAGTGTGTTCGTCGGAACAAAGGTTCGCCAACCTCGACTGGAATCATAGCATCCGTGCCGTATGCCAGCCAGAACGGAGTTTCCTTTGTGCTTGATTGAGGTGTGCACCTGTATGCCCAAAGAACTTCAGGAAGCTCTTCGGCCCATAATCCCTTTGCCGTGCCAAGCCGTTTCTTCAACTCGGTGAGGAGAACCTTGTTAGCAGCTTCGGCTTGACCGTTGGACTGTGGGTGCTCGACAGAAGTGAACCGGTGTCGGATGCCAAGGTTTTCAAGAAAGAAGTTGAATTTCTTATCCGTGAATTGCAATCCATTATCGGAGATGATTGCGTATAGGATGCCGAACCGGGTGATGATGTTTTTCCATACGAATTTTTGAACATTAGCTGCTGTAATGGTAGCTAGCGGCTTGGCTTCAATCCACTTAGTAAAATAATCAACGACCACTACCAGAAACTTGCATTGACCTTTAGCGAGTGGAAACGGGCCGAGAATATCAATTCCCCATAAGGAAAACGGCCAAGGGGCGCTGACTGAGTGGAGCTGCTCGGCCGAGGCATGTATTAGGTTGCCATGCTGTTGGCATTGCTTTCACTTCTTCACATATTCGGCGCAGTCGATTTTCAAGGTCGGCCAATAGTAGCCGGCTCTCAGCACTTTAGCAGCTAAGGTTCTTGCACCTGAGTGTGATCCACAAATTCCTTCATGAACTTCTCGTAGAACATAGTCGGCTTGTGGCTGGTCAAGGCATTTTAATAAGGGTGTAGAGAACCCTCATCGGTATAGTTCACCGGCAATTACATAGTAACGTGCTGCTTGAGTTCGGACTTTCTTGGCTTCCAACGGATCAGACGGTTCATAACTGTTGATGATGTACCTAATGATGTTGGTCATCCATGAACTTGTCGGTCTTTCAATCGACATGCACTCTTGTGGAATACTTGATGCAGGTAGTTCCAAGTGAATGGTTGACCGAAGCTGTCCTGGTTTTCGACTACTAGCTAATCGGGCTAGTTGGTCAGCTCTCTCATTATGACACCGTGGTGTGTGTCGGACTTGTACTTCATGAAACTGATCCCTCATTGCCTTGAACATGTGGTAATACTTCAACAAATGCGCGTCTTTGACTTGAAAGTTGTCATTGACCTGTTCGGCCACCACCTTCGAGTCAGTCCAACACACAACTTTTGAAGCACCCATCTCGGCAGCCAACCTCATGCCGACAAGCAAAGCTTCATATTCTGCTTGGTTATTAGAGGTCTTGAAGCCGAATCGCAACGATTGTTCAAGGGTAATTCCGGATGGGCTTTCCAAGATTATGCCGGCACCACTTCCTTGTTGATTGGACGACCCATCCACATGCATAGTCCAAGCGGTATCTTCAAACTGGCCGAGTGGTGATAATTCATTAACGAACTCGGCTAAGCTTTGTGCTTTGATGGCTCCTCGAGGCTCGAAACGGATATCGAACTTAGAGAGCTCAATTGACCATGCCATCATTCGGCCGGCTAATTCTGGTTTTCGCAGTACTTTGGCAATCGGACAATCTATTCGGACTACGATGGTGTGACTCTGAAAGTACTGACGGAGACGCCTAGCCGCATACATGAGTGCCAACGCTACCTTCTCTAGTAGTTGGTATCGTCGTTCGACATCTTGCAGCACTCGGCTAATGAAGTATATCGGTTGCTGTTGTCCGTCATGTTCCCGTATCAAGCCGGCGCTTATGGCTTCGCCCGAAACCGCCCAAGTATAAGATTAGTTCTTGGCCGGATGTTGGCTTGGTCAATACCGGGGGAGTGCCGAGGCATTTCTTGAAAAGTTGAAAAGATATTTCGCATTCTTCTGTCCATTGAAATCTGTTTGCCTTTTTCAGAAGGCCAAGGATCGGCTTGGAAGTCTCGGCCATACATGGTAGGAAACGAGATAAAGCTGTTAGTCGACCAACTAACTTTTGGACCTCTTTCAAGTTTGATGGACTCCTCATGTCGATGATAGCTTGGCATTTGTCCGGGTTAGCCTCGATGCCCCGACTTGACAACATGAAACCTAAAAACTTGCCGCCTGAGACGCCGAATACACACTTATCGGGATTAAGTCTCATCTAATGTTTCCGAAGGGCCCGGAAGACTTCGGCGAGATCGGTTACATGGGCAAGTGTGTCAGCCAATTTGACAACCATATCATCCACGTAAACTTCCATAATTCTCCCGATTTGATTGCCGAAGATCTTGTCCATGAGCCTTTGATATATGGCCCCAGCATTCTTCAGGCCGAATGGCATTACTTGGTAGCAGTAATTGGCAGATTCTGTAACAAATGTCGTTTTGTCTTCGTCTCGGGGGTACATTCGAATTTGATTATAGCTCGAGTATGCATCGAGGAATGTTAGGAACTTATGACCAGCCGCACCATCCACCAATCGGTCTACGTTTAGCAACGGATAAGCATCCTTGGGGCAGGCTTTGTTCAAATCTGTGTAATCAGTACACATTCGCCATTTGCCATTCGACTTCTTGACCATGACAACGTTGGCCAGCCATGTTGTGTATTGGATTTCTCGAATGAAACCTGCTTCAAGGAGCTTAGACGTTTCGGCTTCAACCGCCTTTTTCCTTTCTTCCCCCATTTTTCTCTTACGTTGGGCGACCGGTTTGGCCTCCCGGCACACTGAGAGTCGATGGCATAAGAAGGTAGGGTCAATCCCGGGCATGTCGGCCGGCCTCCATGCAAAGAGGTCTTTGTTTTTCTTTACCACATTTTCGATTTCACGCCTTTCGGTCTCGGACAGGTTGGAACCTAGGTAGGTGACATGCTGGTTGGTCGGCCCGATAATCAGTGGGTACCGATCTTCAATCGGCTCGACCCTCTCATCTTGCTCCATTCGAGGGTCGAAGTCTACAACCGTTTCGAGGTCTTGGGCTACCGAATGCACGCGTTTCTCTCGACTCGGCTCGGTTGCTCCGAGGCGGGGCAACCGGAGACTAGCGAAATAACATTCCCTGGCCGCTTTCTGATCTGCATGTACTGTGATGATTCGGCCTGATTCAGAAGGAAATTTCATGGCTAAGTGCGGGGTTGACACAATCGCACCTAACCTGTTGAGGGACGGTCTTCCAAGAAGAATGTTATATGACGTGTTAGCATGCACAACCACGTACTTGATCGGGATGTCTTTGACTTCGGGTCCATCGGAACAAAAACGAGTGGATAACTTGATGTATCCTTTCGTTTGTACACGCTCACCAGAAAATCCAACCAGCGGCTCATTGTATGGGATCAGTTCGGCTTCCGGGATGCCGAGTTGCTTGAAGGTATTCCAGTAGAGGATATCGGCCGAACTTCCTTGATCGACCAATGTCTTCCGAACGATGCAGTTGTGGATCTCCACGCTGATGACCATGGGATCGTCCTGATCAGGATCGATGCCCTTGAAATCAGCCTCAGTGAATGTGATGGCCGGCAACCTCTGCCGGGTGCACTCAACTGCATGGACAGTTCAGACAGCTCGTAGATGTCTCTTCTGTGCTGAGGAGGTGGATCCTCCGCCCGCAAATCCACCGGTAATAGTATTGATGACCCTTCGGGGTTGAGTTGTGGGCTCGACTTCTCTTCGGTCTCTCGACCGGCTTCGTTCCCTGTGAGGGTGCCTATCAGATCTCTCTCGGCCATGTTGTTCCCCACGATGCCGGTGATCATCGCGTCTGGGAGAGCGGGGCCGATCGACAAAACGTTGAAGCTGCCCTTGCTTGATTAAGTCCTCGATTTTATCTTTAAGAGCCGCACAATCCTCAGTTGAGTGACCTCGGTTTCGGTGATATTTGCAGGACTTGGTTGTGTCGGCGCGTGGAGGGGTTGACGCTCGTTTTGGTACTGCCAAAACCTCTGAAGCGAGTGCCTGATCTAGGACAGCAGATCGACTGGCGTTCAATGGGGTGTAATGAGAATACCTTGGTCCTCGTGTTGGTTTTTCGCGGGGAATTTCTTTAGGACGGCTCCGATAATTGCTCTCGGCTGGCTTATCGGCTTTGGCGGCAATCTCTGCCTGTGCTTGATTATGGAACTCAGCTAATTCCTCCATTTGCATGTATTTGTCGGCGCGCCGACGCAAATCATCCATATCAGTTGGGGGTTTCTTACAGACGCTGTTGGCGAAAGGTCCCGGTTTCAAGGCGGTGGTAAGGTGGTGCAAAGCTACAGTAGGGTTAAGGTCTCGGATCTCCAAGGCCGCTTTATTAAATCGGCTCATGAAGGTCCGAAGGGATTCCTTCTTTTCTTGTCTTATGCTTACCAATGAGAGCGAGGTCAGCTGATGAGGCCTGCTGGTGGCGAACTGAATGGTGAATTGAGATGCTAATGTATTGAAGGAGTCGACTGAGTTGGCCGGAAGTTGTGTGAACCAGCTCAATGCCCGACCCTTTAACGAAGTTGGGAAAATTCAGCACAAGGCAGCATCGTCAGTAATACTGAGGGTGACCTGAGTCAAGAAGATGTCGACATGCTCGTCGGGGTCGGTGGAACCATCATACTTATCGAGTGGCAATGACTTCCAATGGTCAAGGAGTGCCGTTTGCATAACACTTGGAGTAAAGGGATGCCGATGTGCTCCGGCCGGCGATGGTTGTATCGGTCGGCTGCCCGAAGCATGGGCAGCTAGGGCAGCAATAAAAGTGTGGGGGATGGAGGTATGATGGCCGTGCGAGTGGAACGACCCCTGAGTGTGGGTCGTCTCAGATGGTTTCCATGTGGGGTCTCAGTACTGGTTTTTCAGAGCAGCATTCTCTTCTCTCAATGCGGCCATCTCAGCGGCATCTCTCTCTCGCTGCTGTTTCATGGCGATCATTTCTTCCTTCATCTGGCGTACCATATCGGTCAAGTTTGTCTCCTCAACCGTCTCGGCCCCGGACTGGTGCTCCTCTTCGGACTGTTGTCCTTCGAAATTAGTATTCCTTGTCTTTACCATGATTCTTTTCCTCGTAAACTTTCGATGCTTCTGCTATGCTTTCGGTTCGGCCCCACGGTGGGCGCCAAAATGTACCTGCCTGAGGGTACACTCGTAGTCTTCTGGGGTGTAGGAGGGCCGAACGAGAGCTTTAGGTGGATTCTTCGGAGGGGGAGATACCTGCAAAAGGCACTCCAACGCTCAAGTCAGGATATGCACGATTTTCTAGGGTAATAAATGAACAGTGACATACCTCGTTACGTGTAACTTATTTATAATACCTGACATGTGCCTGAGCATGGTGGGCCTTCTCTAACATTTACCAAATTAGGTAATACGATGTTAATCGGCTGATTATGTCTTAATCATGTACTTATCCTTACTACTCATAATCGTCGTTCTAATTATTCGATACTGACTTTTGGCCGAGCCGAGACAACACGGCCGAAACGTCCTCTCTCGACTTCTGGCTGAGCCGATAGGGGAAGAGCACAGTTCTTAGTGCCCTGTCGGACCGAAGTGGTATTCGAGCAGTATCATCTGATAGTATATGGCATGTCGGTCCACGTGGCCGATCCACATGGCCGAGCCGAGAAGTTACCTGAGCTGCGTCAATATCTGATAGGACATGACGTGCCGGTCCACGTGGCCGATAGGGTCCTTCCGGTACAATTTTGAAATTTGAATTTGTGATGAATAATTTAATGGGTGATTTAGAATTCTTCATTTTTGCAACATCATTTCAAGGGAAACATTCACTAAGCTATTGAATTTTTTTTAAAGCTTTTTGTTCCAAATTTACATGTGTGGCTTTGCATGTTGTATTGCTTTTTCCACCTTTGATATTTCATATCTCTTGTTTGGTTCAACATGTTTATGTGTGTCCATTTTTCTTACAAAATATTACTATGAAATTATATTCAATTTCCATAAATTTAATAATTATAGTTCTAGTTTCTTGATGAGTTTATATATTTTTGTGTAATTACTCATGCTATTTTTTCTTCATTGTTGCACATTTTTCTCTCTTTAATAGAACAATTTTTTTTAAATGAAATTTTCAATTTGTCTTTACAAATTTTCATGCAACCAACAATACCTATAGAGGGTAAATCATCACCCAAGGTAGGATGCATAGGACACTTAACCCATATATCTAACAAACTTTTTCAATTAGGGAATAAAAACAATGTGATTTAGGATCATTTGTAGGTTTGTTACTATGTCTCCAAGGAGTTTCGTGGTAGGATTTTTTAGTGTTTAAACTTCTATTGTTATGTTATTTTGTATATGTTGACCAATTCCCTTCCTTTTCCAATTAGTTGTTGGGAGGTTTTAATATGTACTTGCACAAATGTATGTTAAATGTTAACTACATAATCTTGAATTAACAGGAAAATAATGAATGGACATATTAGTACCTGAGTGTTTTATCAAGTTGCAATGTTATGGAAAATGTCTATCGATGGGTGTATGGGCATGTTGCATTTCTTCATAAGCTTGAGTTTCATGAATAATGCATGATGGACAATGACAATGTGGGGCTTGTCATTATCACTGTTCTTGTCTACAAAAAAATGTAGCTAAGGCTTATGTTATCCACCTTATACAAAAGAGTTTAACTAGTGACTATCCCAACTTTCTGGTTTTTATTAATGTGTATTATTTAATTAGATAAAGAAATGGAAAGGTTAGCTAAAAATAAATCAAAAAATAAAGTAATGTTTTATTTTTCTTGCATGTAATAGTGAAAAATCTTACAATTTTTCCATATTTTGAGGGCTTTCAACATCATACATGACCTATATGTATTTTCTAGTTCAACAATTTGCTTATTTTGATGATCAAATGCAAATTCATGGGTTAATGATCCTCTCATGTAGTCTCTTATCTAATATTGCCAATCAAGCTCACAGTTTTGAAATCTTAAAATCATGTATATTTTTTTTCTTCAGTTGGTGGAGAATGTTGTTGTGTCTATGCCACATGTAATTGTAACATTTCTTGTCATATGCATAAAGACTCCTAAACCTTGTTGATTGTGGAAACACCAAGGGGTTTACATCATTAAGATTGAAACAATTGATGATTGTTAACTAGTGATTTTTGTAGAGAGTGAGCCAATACCCCTTATCCCTCATTAGGCTTTGAATTAGATGTAAATATTAGTTCCTTTTCATTTTGTTTGATCTGTCGTTGATCCTCTATTTTCTTAATCTTGATAAAGTACTCATTATTTCCTTACAATTTTCAGATACTTAATTCTTTCTAATATCAGTGTCTATTGTGAGAGTCACTTTATTCTTGAAATTCTCATGTCAAGTTAACTAGTCTCTTTTACTTTTTAGACTCCAAACTAAAAAAATAGAAAGTTGATATCACTATTTAGTAGCGAACTATAAGACATGAGAATAAAAATACTTGCACAAATTTACAGTTAGGCACACTTCAACACCATTTTATTGCAGTTACATGAATACGACCCTTTTATGACATTTACCTCATGCTATCACACGTTGTGGACTTTAAGTGATGTGACTAGGTTTTATTTTAGGGAATAAAAATATCTAAAATATCAAGCATTTTGAATTTATTCAATTTGCTTGTCTTTTGTCTATGCTATGTTAAACATACCTAAAGCCTTTAGGGAGTCTCAAGAATAGTGAAAGTATAGTCTATTCTTGCTATAGGTCACTGATATAATTCTTGGTGTGGAACCTGTTAAGTCTCATTTATACATATGTTTAGATAGGAATTATTGAACAATTCCATTCACCCCATGCACTCTTGCAATATAATTATTCTCTTTTTGATTCAATTTTTGTGCAGATATAACTAACCCAAAATTTATCTAACAATACCTTGATACACCTCATTTTTTGTGTAGGTATTGAGTTAGAGAGTTGAGGTTGAAGACCCATAGGATTGGAAATTTAAGGAGCTAAGGAGCAGGAGAAGAGTACCTGCGCCGGGCGCAGACTACCCACGTCGGGCTTGAGAAACACAGAGAGCATCACCTCTGCACTTCAGCATTGCATCGGGCGCAAGAGCATCCGCGCTGGGCGCAATTCAAAACAAAGAGCACTCAAAACTCTCTGGAAGACATTGCACCAGGTGTAACCGCATCCGCTCCAGGCGTGATTCGAGACAGAGAGTAATTACCTCTCTGGAAGACCCTGTGCCGGGTGCGAAGTATAATGCGTTGGGCGTGTAAACCCTATCCTGTCTCCCCCCAGCTCGTATTTGATCAAATCTTCGAGGCTCATTCCCTCATTCACACATTGGGTGACTTCTAGGAGCTGAGGAAGGGATTCCCGGTGCTTGGGACCGTTTGTGTGTGAGTCTTTCCTTCAGTTCTTCCATCTCTCTTCCATCTCTATTTTTGTTTTACCCTCATTGTTTTGAGCGATTTTACCCATTATTTTGTGGGGTTAGATGTAACCAACTTAAATCTTGTGTAATCTTCACGTTATCAATGATATATATATGTTGTTTCATTCATTGTTGTGTATGTTTTGATTCTTAATGCTTGCTTTGGATTGATTCTCCTTTGCTTGATATAGAGTCCATTGGGTATTGGAGAATAGCCTTTTGAACTAGCTCTGAAACAAATACCTAGTGGGAAATGTATCTAGGAATGGAGCTTGGCCCATTAGTAGTCTTAAACCCTAACCCGTAATGCAGGTGTATGTATTGGATACTCAAGGAATTGATATTCATTATCTGCACCTAGGCCCTTGCTCTAAGGGATTAGGTTTGAGTAAACTTATGGGTTGACTAGGCAATGAATGTAACAAGAGAATAAAGATTCATCAGTGTGAAGTTCGGTGATATCTGACCCCACAATCTTACAAAATCACAATACCATTTCTATCCCTTCCACAGACACAAAGTATATTATAGGTTTGAAATTTCAATAGTCATAACCTTTATTTGAATTGCATGACAACCTATGAAAAATTGAAATTATTCTTTAGTCACAAATAGTCATTAAATGCTTATTTTACCTACTAGTCCCTGTGGATACGGTTTAAATTTACTACTTGAACGACCGGTATACTTGCCGTGTTTGAGTCCATTGATAGAATAAAAAATGATTTATAACAAAGACAGAAACTAATGTCAACGGAATTCTCAACAAAACCTTGGATTCAAGTAAAGTATATTCTTTGGTTGAAGCAAAAGTCAAATTCATCCGCAAATGTCTTTTATCCCCTTCCTTTGAGCCCAAAATTGACCAAGAAGCATGTTGGAATGCACTGGTCAAAATATTCATAGCAATGAAACCCCTCTTTTGAAATATTGAG